ATATAGGTCTATGATAGATTTAGATCCTTTCTTAAAGATTGAACAGATTTTAGGTATCTTCAAATAACTTGGAAAATTCCCTTCTCGCGAGGACATATTAAAGACCGTGGTTAAAGAATTGGCTAAAATATTTGCACAATCTCTTATTAAAAATGTCGGAATATCATCTGGCCCTCTAGTATTTTTAGGTTTCAATTTTTTAAGACCTTTAATGACATCTTTTTCTGTAAGTAGCGGAATGTTACAACTGTTAATATTAGCATTATCTAGTTTAGACATATCAATTTTAGAATTAGTGTACGATGACTGAAAATATGTGAATTGTTTAAAAGATTTTTATCAAAACTCTATAACATTTGGTATACTACTACAGTTTTTCCTTGCCAAAAATAATTGGGGATAGAAAATATTCTATTCTCAATATTTGTCAAATATTTCCTGTAATTTATTGAAATGTCGCGTTTAAAATTTTTGACCTAAGAATACTAAAGTCGGTATAAATTTCAGCCTCTAGTGTATACAAATGATAAAAGAGATAATTTTTCCTCAAATCCGAGATTGTACTTCTATTAAACCAAGCAGAGTATTTTGAATTGCACCTTGGTGCAGTTTTTGGTACATTAGCGGCAATTGCCGAATTTAAGATAGAATAAAATAAATCACAAGTCTCCATGCATTCAATCTACTCCAATTAATTCTACAGATACTCTGCTAGAGTTGAGGAAGATTTGCCTTCTTGAAATTATAAGATAATTTACTAGACATGGCAAAACTGGTATTTATTTGAGAAAAAGACAGCCGAAATTCTAATGAAGGATGTAAAATAACTTCGTCAGCTAATGGATCAAGTGAACGATTTACAGCGATGTGAGATCTACTAAAGATTAAATCAAGTAAACGGTTATTGGGTCCTATGATTGAACGTTTACGTTATCCGTAACATACATGTTAGGCCGAATTTTAAAAGTAACGAGGCAAGTTCGTATGATGGAAACCTGTTAAATTAGAACATAACAGGCGGAAAATAACAATAATGTGTTATGAAAGACTTTACATCATACGAATTTGTCTCTTTACTGTTAAAACTCGGCCTAACATGTACGTTACGGATAACGTAAACGTTCAATCATAGGACCCATTAAAATGAAGAGTATTATTATATTGTCTTAAAGCCTATAATTCGGTAATATTATCAAGTGCAACTATACTAACATTTTTTAAAGTAATGTCATTACGACTAGAATGATAATGTGACATATTAAAATCCCCTAATATTAACAGTTCTTCATCATTGTTGCACCACTCGTTATTGCATAAAACATCATAAAAGACATCGTATATATCAGTACTAGTAGAGGGAGGAATATAAAGTAATATTACATACAGATTGCTATTCGAGTCTGAAATTTTTAAACCAAGTACATCAATAGAAGGAGTAGAAGTAGTCAGTTCAGAAAGATCTAGTCTTAATGTATTGTATTCTTTCTTTAAAGCAATTAACACACCTCCCCCTTTAATAGTAGTATTCGTAATATTAGAATTTCTGTCACAACGAAATACTACATAATTTTCAAAAAATATGGCAAAAACTAATTTATATAACAATTTAGTTTCAGAGAACAAAATAGTGGTTTCTGCAATTTTAGTAAAACAATTTAACATTCCAGAAACAGCGGTTATAATATCAAACATAATAGTCTTGTAAACTAAAAATTATGAAGCTACTTTGATAGTTGGGTTACCTACCATTATTTGACAGATGAGTACTCCTCTACCACTAGTGTGCTGGCGCGAACTGTTCTACCTATGTCTAATCAATGACATCGCTTATTCTTTACCGTTCTTCTAACGTCATAGTGTGAAACTTAATATACTGTATAACTACATATAAAATACGTTAATTTTCAATAACAGTTATTATGGTATAATGATAAGATCTTAAATGAATTTCTGCGGCGATAATTGAATTGTAAATTATTGTAATGCCAATTTTATACAGGATAAAATAAAATTAAAAGGAATTTTAAAATGTTACAACGAGGAGTACCACAAGGTTATGTTTTGGGGCCACTAATATTGTTGTACGGGAATACTTTACCTCAACATGAGTGCAGATTATACCGTTCTTTATGCGGGTATTAAAACTTTACTCCTACAGATGATCTTAAGGTCACTTAGTAGCTTTCAGATTTTTCTAATTGGTACAATAAACATTTTTAAATTCTGATAAAACAGTTGCTCTTCTGTTTTTCTCATTGGTTATATATGTCTAAAGGTAATTTGAATTATGTATATCAGAAAACAAAATTTCTTCGAATATTGCTAGATAATATGAGCTGGGAATCAAATATTAATAGCATCTTTAAAATTAAGACTATATAGAAAAATGAATACAATTTTTCGATTATCCTCGTATTAATATAAATTTACAACATCTGATTTTGATTGTTTTGATATCAACCGACATGACCCACTATCCACCCTCTCATTTTTTTTCTATCGACTCTCATACGACGTTAAACTGTAATAAATAGCCGTTACTTCCATCTCTAATCTCTTCTTCTTTTTCTTCTTGGGATGGGTCGTTTGTTTATTGCTTTGACCTCTGAGACACGAGTTGTATTGGAATAGGCCCGGTTTCGAGTCCTATTATCTATGCTAGTGTCTAGGCAGCGTGAATCACAAGTCATCGGCAAGCGAGTTCAGCGATGTGTTTGTTTTTTTAAGTTTATTTTTGAATCTTACACGATGTTTATGCAGTAAAGTATTGTTGTTACTGTCGCAGTGTATAATTGGAGACCAATCATGCTTTTTTATTTCACGAAACTGACTTTTTAGAGCGTCGTCTGCCTGGAGTTTAATTAATTCCATTTGAAAAGACATTTCCACGTCCACGTCGAAAGGGAGTCATGTATATTTAGAATTGCAGTTCACGTGTCAAATAAAAAAGCCCAAAAGTATTTTACCGACTTTGTCTAAAATTGTAGAAAAGTAATTAGTAAACAAATAATACGAGTATATAGAAACGTGTTTTCTCATAATATTGTAACCACTAAACAATCAGGTTTTCGAAAGGAGTTCAGTACTATAACTTTACTCCTTAATTTAATAGATATCATAAGGAAAGGTCGCAACAGTTACTCTGCTTGACTTTTCTAATGTGTTTGAAACTATATATCCTCAGCTTCTTTGTGCGAAACTAAAATATTTTGGTTTCTATGAAACAGTAAGATTTTTCAAATTTGTTTTAAGTAACCACTACTAAAAAAAGTAACGCTAGAGAAATCGTTTAACTAACATCAGGAGTATCCCAATGATCTGTTCTTATTCCCCTTTTATTTTCAATATATATTTCAGGTCTTTATAAGATATTGGTACATGTAAATATACATTCTTTTGTTGACGACACGCAACTATTATATTGCTTTGACTCACGAGATATAGCTTCTCAAAACATAAATTTAGATTTAAATGATGTATATACATTTTATTTGTATTATAACCTTGGCCTAAACGCCATTAAATGGCATACAATATTATTCAAACTTCGGTTGTAACCAATACAGTAATATATGGATAGTCCGAACCTCCCTTAATCAGAAATACTCTATAATCCAAACGCTCCAATTGCGTAAAATGATATCCATAATCTGAACACCTTAAATTCTGCAATCCGAAATATACATATACGCGCGCGAAGATGATGCAACATTTTTCTTCTACAAGTCTCTGCGAGTTAGTTTGTCTTGTGCTGTTTAGTTGTTTTGTGAGTTTTATCGCCACGCAGTTTGGTTGTTTTGTGAGTTTTAGACTGTGTGTATGTGTGCATGTCACATTAACCCTCGAAAAAAAGACTGAAATTTTACGTCAGTTGGAGTCTGGATGTTCATTCACGTCCTTGGCAGCACGCTTTAATGTTGGTAAGTCAACAATATCCGACATCAAGAAAAAGAAGAACGTAATTCTTGGTTATGAACTGAAAAAAGGCCGGGAACAAGGAAAACTATGCGCCAGTGCGGAATTTTCTGATATTGAAGATGCAGTATATACATGGTTTTTACAACAGAGAGCGCGACATGCACCGATTTCCGAAGCAATCATACTCGATAAGCCTCGCCAATTTTTCACAGAAAAAAAGTCAAGTTTAAAGGTAGTAGAGGATGGTTCTAAGGCTTCAAGCACAAATTTGGAATCCGCTCGTTGAAAGTTACCGGGGAGAAGCTGTCGAGTGACGAAAATGCCGTGGAACCTTTTCGTATTGAACTGAAACGAAAAATTGAGCAATTCGGTCTTTCTACAGAGCAAATCTACAACGCGGATGAATCTGGTTTGTACTGGCGCTGCCTTCCAGAACAGACATTAGTACACGCAAAGGCGAAAAGGGTGCACCGGGTCGCAAAATCAGTAAAGATCGAATTACATTTATGCCTTACGCAAATGCAAGTGGCCTATACAAATTGCGGTTGCTTGTGATCGGCAAATCAAAACATCCAAGACTATTTAAAAACATCCAGCTACCTGTCTATTACCGAAACCAAAAAAGAGCGTGGGTAAATCAAGATATCTTCAAAAAATATCAGCAATCTTGAAGAGAAAGTTCTTTTGGTATTGGATAATGCTTCAGCTCACAGACCAGACGAAGATATAGCCAGCCATGATGGTAATGTTTCTACCACCCAATTGTACCGCCTTGATTCAGCCGATGGTCCAGAATGTGTGCCATATCGGAAAAGATTGCTGCAAGAGGTGCTTTTACAAGAGGATGAAAACATTGCGCGATGTTTGAAAAATGAAGATGCTGTATTTGCGCTAGCCGAATCTTGAAAGCAAGTGCCTGAAAAATTGGTGAAAAAGTCACGGTGTCAACTTCTTTCGGACAGTAACATGGATGAATAGGATGCAGATGATCTGATACCTTTGAGTGACTTAAGAGAAGAAGGGCTTGATGGAGGACCTGATCTAGTGGAGTTAGTGATAGAGTGAATTGTGCTGAGAATCCGATGGATAAAATAGAAGTTGAAAAATGGACAAGAGGTGATGACGAGAAAAATTTGGATATAGAAATCTTAGAAGCTAATGAAATCATAGCTAACGTCACAGGACAAAATCAGAACTCCAATGACGAAAACGAACCTATTCAGAAAATATCCTGTAAAGAGGCGGTCATGTCATTTAATTCATGTCTACAATGGGCGGCAAAAAATGCATTGCCACTGCATGAAGTGATTTTTCTAAGAAGAATTCGACAGAAGGCTGTCGATCTAAGCATCAAGAAATGTGTTCAAAGTACTCTTGACAATTTTGTTCAAAGAACAATTAAGAGACAATGAAGTGTTTAGCCAATTGGACTCTTCAAAAATCTTAATTATTATTGTTGTTATTTAAACGTATACTGTATTTTTCGTATTTGCAATATGCCTGTACTTACGTATACTTATGTACTATAGTACATATTATGTAATGTATTGTACGGTGTTCCTCTTTCTTAGAAGTTTGTTTTCACTTTGAAATGCATACGTTATAGTGTGTATAAATGTATGTATTTCTGTATAACACAAATAAAAGTTTTTATAGCCATTCAGTACGTGAACTTTTTGTGGTAAAAATGTATTTGTACGGTTAAGAAATGTATCTATAAACCGAAAGTGTTCGGATTATACATATCATTTATTTTGAATTCTATAATCCGAAAGTTTTGATAAACCGAACGGGTTCTGCCAACTTTCTGTTCGGATTATCCATACATTACTCTGTATATCACAATTAATAATGTTCTTTACTTGAAATTACAAATTTTTAGATGACTTATATAGTTTCTGTTTTATTCCTTAATATCAATATTTCTTTGATAATTCTTTTTTTTTTAACCACCACTTCTACAATTTACTCTATCATCACAAGGACTCCATCTGTAGTAACACCATTTAACTTTCCCCAGTTTAATTTAAAAGCACTAAAAACATTACCAATTTTTATTGTTTATTCGTGATAACTTTTAATATCATTTTTATGACATTCCTGTTCCACACAGTCTAGGAGTGATCGATCTTCAGTATTACGGTCTCAGATCGTTATTTATACTATTACTAAGCATGATTTGCTGATTAAAATTTAGAAAATTTATTTTTATCTGAAATCTAGATAAACTCGAATTTATTTATGGGCTGTAATCCAGCACTTCCTTGTTGATACTTGCTTATAGATTTTCCTTATCTCATGTATGCTTTTTTTAAAGAAATTTTCCGTGTGGGAATGTTTTATTTAAAAAAACTCATTTCACTTAAGTGGCGATAATTGATCTTTTAGTATAGATACTAGAAACAAATAAGATTTAATTACTTTTTTATTTATTTTGATTAACTGTAGGTAGGGTTGCCTAGTCTCCCGGAAAAAGGCATTTCATTTTTAAATTCTCACGGATCCTGGAATGTACCTAAAATCTCCCGGATCTTTGAAATTGAGTTGGTTGAATTAAAAGAGTTCTTCTCTCAACATGCCTATAAATGCATCAGGATAAACTGTATGATAATAATTAAAGTAGAAGTACGTGAAGTTATTGCGAGCAAATAAAACTAAAGGGTACATTTTTTTGAAAAATGTGTGGATGAATCAGGCAAAGAAATAAAAAATTTTATTCACTCACCTATGTCGAGCGTGTTTTTAACGTTGAACTGGCCAAAAAAACATAATCGTCTTAATGCAACTCATGTCAAATCTGAAATAAAAGTGGGCATAAATTTTCAAATACATATGTAAAGAGTATTATGATTTTATCGATAATGAAAAAGTATTTCCAGCTGCTTACGGTGTAAAAAAATATTGTAAAATTTCATACTAAAGAATAATCTTTAGTTATTGCAATTATTTGTTACTTCTTACTATTTTTTGTTTTTCTTTTCTCTCCCAGATTTCTGATTAACAGAGTTAATCTTGTATTCTTTAACAGTTACCAATATTGTTTACAAAGTAATATATTATAAGATCAACATATTTCATATAAATAATTTAACAAGAATGGTCCCAGATTCGAACCTTGAGGTACCTAATAACCTAAGAGCGATTTGTTGTGTAAATATGTTAAAAATATTCAAGTTTTTTTTTAATCTTACAATAAATTTTAGCATGTACCTCGTATATTAAAATTGATAATAAATGATACATAATATTGTTACATAAAGTTCATTACACAGATTTATATTAGTTTTCGAAAATAAAATCAAACCGGTTATAACTGGTAACTCAAAAAATATGTGATAACTTATCTCGAAATTTTCTTGCTGATAACAGCGCTAGTAGGTTTTTAAAAACAAGGAATTATTAATTTATCATTGTTTTTCCAATTATCGTAATAATAAACAAACCTCGAGATTATAAATAATGTTAATTTAAAACAAAATGTTTAAAAAAATTATAAACAAAAAAGATGCACAATATTTCCTGATATTGAAATAGTTTTCTTTTAAATATATCCGCTTGACTAATACTAGTTTGTGCAACAAGAGGGAATACGGACTCGAATTGTACAGTATATTTTTTCTACGACCCACTATCAAAAATCTACAAGTTTTTAAAATTATTTTTGTTATTAAGATAAAAATAACTAATTTAAAAATAATTTATGACTTTTATTAATTTATAAAACAAAATAAACTTGAAAAAAAAAAGATTTATTTTAGTTAGTCCCAGTCCAGATTTAAAACCGAGCACGGCAATCCATTTTCTTGGAAAAAATACTTTTAAAAAGTCTGACTTGACTAGAATTGTGAGCTGCACAACCATATTCATATTTTGTCAGATTCTAGAGGTATTTCATCCAGAACTTCTGTCAATAAATTGACATAGAACATGCCATTTAAATTGCCCACCTTGTTTCCAATAATCGCATACCACACATTAAAGCTATACCGAAGACAATTTTGAGTTGAAATATCTGCCATATTTTTAGGCTTTTGAAGGCTATTTTTATACCCTATTCCAAAATTTTATACTTCTCATTTTTTGCAAAAATAAAGGTGTCCTGCTAGCTTCGAATGACAGTTTTTTGAAGTTTTTTCCAAAAACAACAACACTATATTTTTAGGCTCTTCAAATATTATAAAGCATTTTCCCAAAAAGAACCACACCGCATTTTAGGCCATTTTTAGGCTCTTGAAATAGTATAAAACTTTTCTAAAAAAGTACCATTTTTAAATAATACAGGGTAGCTTTGTTGGAACAAAGTCAGCAGAACCCACGGCTTTATTAATTTTTTTTTCCTGAAAACTATTTTTGCCGCATTTTAAGCTATTTTTAGGCTCTTGCAATACTATAAAAATTTTCGAAATAAATTAGTATTTTTTAAAAAATACAGGCTGCTTTGCTAGCTTCGCACAAATCCAGCAGAGCACCTCGGTTTTTTAAAGCTTTTTTTCTAAAAACAATCACACCAATTTTGTGAGCTACTTCTACTCTCGAAATAATCTAAAACTTTTCGAAAAAAATTACTATTTTTAAAAAAATACGAGGATGCTTTGATAGCTTCGAACGATGTAGCTTTAAAAAACCGATGTGCTCTACTGGATTCGTTCGAAGCTAGCAAAGCAACCTGTATTTTTTTAAATATACTATTTTTTTAAGGTTTATAGTATTTCAAGATCCAACAATAGCTTAAAAGTGTGGCATAAGTAGTTGTTTTCAGAAAAAAAATTAATAAACCTATGTGCGCTGCTTTGTACCAACAAAGCACCTTATATTACTTAAAAAAAAAGAACTAATTTTTTTTTAAAAGTTTTGTAATATTTTAACAGCCTAAAATTAGCCTAAAAATACGGTGTCGTTGTTTTTAGAAAAAAATGCTTTAAAAAACAGAGGTATCTGCTGACTTATTTCGAAGCTAGCAAAGCACACTGTATTTTTTAAAAATAGCATTTTAATTTGAAAAGTTTTATAATATTTGAAGAGCTCAAAAATAGCCTAAAGGTCTAATATCAATGTTTTTGGAAAAAAAAAAACTTAAAAAAACTGATGTGCTCTGCTGACTTCGTTCGAAGCTAGCAGAGCACCTTGATTTTTGCAAAAAAACGAGGAGTATAAAATGTTTGAATATGGCATAGGTTTCAACTCAAAATTGCCTAGGTCAGCTCTGCTGCCTTCTTTGACATAATTTGTGTTCTAGTTTGCTAGATTAAAAATGCCACAATTTGTAAATCTTGTTTCATTTGTCCATAAAATACTTATTGTCTGAAAACGATGCATTTGCATACAACATTCTTTGATAAATTGCAAAATGTAAGCCTACGCTCGGGATCTCTGGGATGAAGCTTTTACAATTTTAAATTTGTAATCATGATATTTGTGTTTCTTAAGAATTTTCTGAACAGCTGTTTGACTTATTCCACTCTCTTTCGCAATAAAATTTGTAAAAAAATTCACGATTGATGTTTATTAATGCCAATACGTTGGGTATCATTGATTTTATGTCTCATACGATATTTCTCTCGCCTTTTTAAAACACATCCAGCATCTGTAGAATTTCTGGAAATTGAGTAAAAGGTTTTCCATTTTCTTTCAGGATATGTCCTAGCGTATTGTCGAACTGCATTGTCAACATTTCTGTAACATCTGATATAAATGTCATACCTACATATCTTTTTTTTTTTTCACTATCACTATGACGCACCATGATTTATTTCTATTTAAAATCCAAATGATCAAAAATAGAAATGTATTAAAGTGACAGTAATATTAGGCCATGGCAATTTATATTTGTTTTTATTATCATAGTCTACCATATTTTGGACTCTAAAGTTTAATGTTTTTCTATTATTTTACATAATAATGTATACGTGTAATAAATAGCTGTAAAGGTACTTTTTACCTTTATCTAATGGTATAAAAATCAAATATGGCGCCCATAAGAAAAACAAAAGTTGAACATCGTATCTCTGAAAAGAAACGAGAGACACACGGTTAAACCTTGCTGCAAATAATGAAGATATTAGTCAATTTTTCCTAAAACTCTTAGTTTCTAAAAGACAATGAAAGAAAATGAAATTTTTCAGTTTTTGTCAAATATTTCTACTCTCCCTGTAGATATCTCGGGGTTCTTGGCAACACTTAAGAGCATATAAATGCGCAACTTTTGTCTAATTTAACCGACTTGCTATCTTTTACCGTTTGAAAAATAGCAATATTGGCCCTATGATAAAGTGTTAAACATGATGTTCTTCTGCATAAACTTCTAAGGAATTAGAGGTATTCAAAATAAAAGGTTTCAATCCTATATGGAAGATGGGCTTCAATCAGTTAATATTAATTATCACAATGTGAGGGTTCCTCAGGGGTCGGTGCT